GTATTTGAGTCTTGCTTTATAATGCCTGAAGTGTACTTAATACCCCAGAGGACTAGGGTTTCACCGACATAATTATGTTGCGAAGTTTTCATAATAATGAATCTGTTAAAATTGTCAGTTGTAAAAAATGAGACATAGTATAAGTTAATTTGTCAAGTCAAATTTCAAGTCACCTAGAGCAATGTGTAATTCCACAGGGTGCAAATCAACTCTATCGCTCTGGTTGAATCTCCGCAGCGTTTCTTTTACAACGGAAGTTAGTGCAAGCTTCTTGCAAATACAATGTTATTAGTGGGTTCACATCCGGGACTTTTTGACGTTGCAGGAGACGAGTACCCAGATCACGGCTGGAAGCGGAAACTAACTCGACAGAAGACGAACGGAGGCCACTCACTGCAACGGATGTGTGATGAAATTTGGGTAGAAAGCTGTTAAATTTCGAAACAGAAAATTCCTTCTGTTTATCGAAACAGTTCCTTTACCAGTTCTAAGCATGTTTCTACCATATTTAAGGTCAGTTAGTTTAGCATTTAAACGTAAGTGGTTTATATTTAACCACTAACTGTATGAAATGAAAACTATACATTTGTATGCAACTAAGTGTTGTAAATAATGGAAAGCGATAGTTCAACTGTAATGTCATGGCCAGTTGATAAACCATGAAAGTACATTAATTTACACTTTTGTGTGGTTCATTAATATTGTAACAACTAAAGTCATTTTTACCGGCCTTAGCAGCCTTCAATTTAAATGTTTCGCATACCATTGCCTGGCCTGGGCCAGAAGGGTCCCTGGCTGTGGCCACACAATGGGATACCACATAGATTAGTCATTCTTTATACAACCGGAACCTTTTTTGTTGGACCCCTCATTGCTTTTCTATAAAACCCTCCTGTAGTTTCAGCCCAGCCTGGATTTGAGACTGGGCGTTGATTGTGAGAGGTTGTGCTCATTTTTCCTAATAATCATTTGTAATGTTTATCGCTGGACAATTTCGACTCAATTCTGCTCTGGCCTGGTTAGAGAAATATGTAAGCTCTTTTGGACAATTTGGCTCCCTCTCCGAATATATTTTTATTTTTGTGTAATAAATTACTGAAACTGTAAATTGTCGATCTTTGGTCTCTTTCCTTTTCCTGAGTTATGTCTAGAGGCCGCTACAATATAAAGTATCTCAACCTGAGGAGGGGACTCTTATGATAATTTATACTTTCGTCATTGTTTTAAATTTGGTTCCTGCGTTATCTGGCGTCACTGGTAATCATGAATTATGCAGCGTTTGCTCATTGCTGATGTACCACGCGCACAAACTGTAACTGCGCAGCTTTCACCATATGAGGTGGCGTACTGACATACGTATAAAATACAAAACCATCTATTGACCACTGTTGGCTTCAAGGAAGGCAGCTAACCGGTGATAATCTGCGTGAAACTACTAACTGGCAGCTGTTAAAGTGTAGCTGAGCATGATTTTTTTCTTAGACACAAGTTTTCTGCAACTCTTCTACTCTTCATTAATGTATGAAACCTCTTTCACATTCGTATTTGGTTTAATGTAGGCCCTATGGAAAAGTGCACCTTTTAAACACTAAAACTTATCCATTTCTTCCAGGACATTCTGAGGGCGCGCTGTTGCTGTGATGAGGGAAGAGAGTTTCGTGTACATTTAGTCCAGGAAAATTTACGGAGATTCAGGACTTCTTGATGCGATTTTGAGGCTTTCTTCCTGGAATGACATCACAGGTTTGCCCATGAATGTGGAAGTACTTATTTGCACTACCAAAAAGGCAGAAAAATACCCCGAAAATAGTAAAACAAAATTTGAAAATAAATTAACTGAAACTGGTTGGTATTTAGGAAACTGATTGCAGCTACGATTTAATTAATAAACAAAGAAGGCATTCACGAACAATATTCGATAAAATAATCTGTCTGGGAAACCAATTTGACATGTTTCAGTAGTCTTTTACTTTTTTCATAAATTTCTACCTGGGTATTTAATAATACGAGTGTCTGCGCGCGTGCAGTACAGTGGGTGCGTTCGATTAGTTCTCCTGAATACACCAGTGTTACAAGCAAGGGAAGCCTCGAAATGAGGTGAATCAACCGCTGCAGTGTAATCGCCAAGGCATTCTGGGAAAAAGGTCAATTCCCCGCCACGTTCCATCAGGG